GAGAGAGAGAGATAGGGGGAGGGAGAGACAGAGAGAGAGAGAGAGAGAGAGAGAGAGAGAGAGAGAGAGAGAGAGAGAGAGAGAGAGAGAGAGAGAGAGAGAGAGAGAGAGAGAGAGAGAGAGAGAGAGAGAGAGACTCACTCACACTCACTCACAGACGCGCGCACGCACAATCTGTACATGCACTCACACATACACCCGCGCACGCACATATATAGGCCTACACACGCACGGCCACTTGTACTTGTAGACACGCTCTCAAGCGTACGCACACACGTACAAGCGTGCATGTGCGCGAACGTACGCACGTACGTGTACACACTTAACGAAGTCAGGTAAAGAACCAGAGCATGAGGCATAAGCACGAAACACGACCGTGAAAGACGAGCATAAAACAACCGTGTGACACAACCATGAAGCACGAACATAATACACGGGAGTGAAGCACGAACATGATACACGGGGGTGAAGCACGAGCATGATACACGGGGGTGAAGCACGAGCATGATACACGGGCGTGAAACACGAGCATGATACACGGGCGTGAAACACGAGCATGATACACGGGCGTGAAACACGAGCATGATACACGGGCGTGAGACACGACATGATACACGGGCGTGAAACACGAGCATGATACACGGGCGTGAAACACGAGCATAATACACGGAGTGAAGCACGAGCATGATACACGGGCGTGAAACACGAGCAAGATACACGGGCGTGAAAAACGAGCATGATACACGGGCGTGAAACACGAGCATGATACACGGGCGTGAAACACGAGCATGATACACGGGCGTGAAACACGAGCATGAAACAAGGGCGTGAAACACGAGCATGATACACGGGCGGGAAACACGAGCATGATACACGGGCGTGAAACACGATCATGATACACGGGCGTGAAACACGAGCATGATACACGGGCGTGAAACACGATCATGATACACGGGCGTGAAACACGAGCATGAAACACGGGCGTGAAACACGGGCAGGAAATTCAAACACGAAACACGAGCATGAGACACCATCATGAAACACGAGCATGAGACACCATCATGAAACACAAACTTGAAACACGAGCATGAAGCAAGAGACTGAACAACAGTGCGACTAGTAGCAAACAGGAAGGCTACGTTCAACGTCGTCACTTTACAATTTCAACTTGTTCGCAGTCGGGCCAAATGAGGAGAACTTCTTCAACTCGTGTCCAGATAAGTGGATACCGCTTAACGGAGGCTGCTTCAAGAGAAATACATCGCTGGTGACGTACGACACAGCCCGAGCATCGTGTCAGAGAGACGGGGCTCACCTAGCTTCATTCCAGAGTCGGGACGAGTACGACGATTTTAGCAATGGGCTCAGCGACCATACCGCCTCGATCGGCCCCAGGTAGTAATGATAGATGCACATATTCGCCCCTATCTCTGTCTATATGAGCAATACCACGCTAAGGGTTATCGCTACTATAAACGAAATACTTAAGCGACACTATAACGGTGCCTTTACCCAGGATTGGCCTAAGGGGGGTTCCAAATCAGAGGTATGATGGTGACAGCGAGCGCCGAATGACCCCCCAGAAAAAATTTGCTTTAAAAATGTTGCATTCTGGTGCATACCTAGCCTAGCTATAAAATAAGCCCGACTTAGGCGAGGCCGACTGTATTTGCTTTTTAATGGTTGGGGGAGTTCCGGAACCCCTGGAAGCCCCCCCTCCCCCCTTTGGTACGGGGGTGTTAAACTCGCGGCTCATAATACCAGTTACTACTACTAGGCCTCCTCCACCTCCTACTACTACTACTACTACTACTACTACTACTACTACTATTACTGCTACTATTACTACTACTATTACTACTACTATCACTACTACTATTAATTACTACTACTATTACTAATACTATTAATTACTACTACTATTACTAATACTATTAATTACTACTACTATTACTAATACTATTAATTATTACTACTATTACTAATACTATTACTAATACTACTATTACTAATACTATTAATTACTACTACTATTGCCTATTGCTACTACTATTAATTACTACTACTATTACTACTACTATTAATTACTACTATTACTACTACTATTACTACTACTAATTACTACTATTACTACTACTATTACTATTATTAATTACTACTATTAATTACTACTATTAGGCTCTAATTACGTACTACTATTACTACTATTACGTACTACTATTACTACTATTACTGCTGCTGCTGCTACGAAGAAGAAGAAGAAGAAGAAGAAGAAGAAGAAGAAGAAGAAGAAGAAGAAGAAGAAGAAGAAGAAGAAGAAGAAGAAGAAGAAG